TTTTATTGGAGTAGAGGTTCTCGAAGTAGGTATTGATGATCTTCTGGATTTCTGTTGGATCTGTTGTGACTTCACCTTTTTCATTCTTAATTGCATGTATTTGTGCCTTTTCTTTCCTTTTTTTGATAAGGTTGGCTAAAGGTTTATTGATTTTGTTTATTCTTTCAAAAAACCAACTGTTTGAATCATTGATTTTTTTGTATTGTTCTCTTAGCCTCCATTGCATTGATTTCTGCCCTGATCTTTATAATTTCCTCTCTTCTGCGAGCTTTGGATTCGTTATGCTCTTCTTTTTCTAGGAGCTTGAGGTTCTGCATTCGGTTATTTATCTGAGTTTTCTCTGTTTTCCTAATATGGGCATTCACTGCTATGAATTTCCCGCATAGAACTGCTTTCATTGTGTCCTGCAGATTCCTGTATGTTGTACTGGCATTTTCATTTACTTGTAGAAACTGTTTAATTTCTTCTTTAATTACTTCTGTGACCCATTGGTTGTTCAAGAGGGTGTTATTCAGTTTCCATATGTTTGTTGGGGTTTTGCGGTTTCTTATGTTACTGATCTCCCAATTTTATTGCACTATGGTCTGATAATATACAAGGGGTAACTTCTATTCTTTTACATTTACTTAGACATGTCCTATGAGCTAGCATGTGGTCTATTCTGAAGAATGACCCGTGTGCAGCCAAAAAGAATGTGTATTCTGATTTTGTGGGGTGGAACGCTCTGTAAACATCTATTAAGTCCATTTGTTCAATAGCTTGGTTCAGTTCTTGAATTTCCTTGTTAACTTTTTGTCTAGATGATCTGTCTATATGTGATAGTGGGGTATTGAGGTCCCCCACTACAATTGTGTTAGTGTTTATTTGGTTTTTCATGTCTATTAATATTTTTTTTGTATAGTTGGGGGCATTTGTATTTGGTACATATATATTTAGTATTGTCATCTCTTCCTCTTGGATTGTTCCCTTCAAAGGATGTAGTGACCATCTTTGTCTCTCTTAATTAGTTTTGATTTGAAATCTACTTTGTCTGCAAATAAGATTGCTACCCCTACTTTCTTCTGGGTTCCTGTGGCGTGGAGAACTGTTTTCCATCCTTTTACTTTCCGTCTGTGAGTTTCTTTTTGAGTTAGGTGTGTTTCTTGTATACAGCATATTGTTGCATTTTCCTTTTTAATGCATTCTGCCAGTCTATTTCTTTTGATTGGTGAATTGAGGCCATTAACATTGAGGGTTATAATTGATAGATATTTATTTATCCTTGTCATGATGTTTTACTTTTGTTGGCTCTTTTATTTCTTATTTTTTCCCCCTTTCCCTTTAGTGTCTTACCTTGCCTGGTGGCTTCCCCATTTTTCTTTCTTTTAAGAGACTAGCTATCTTAATACAATGAATCCTACGTGGATGTTCCTGAGTTTCCCTATTAGTAAATTCAGAATATCCTAAAGTTGCAGGATATACATTCTTTCAAATACATGGAACATTTACCAAGATAGACACGCACAAAACTAAAGTCCCCAAAATCATCTTTAGTGGTATCTCAGCAAGTAGGGATCTCTTCCCACCCTCTCCCCCAGCAGGGGACATGTGACAATGTCTGAAGACATTTAGATTTTTTAAATGTGTGCGTGCCTGTGTGCATGAGTGTGTGTACTATTGGCTTCTAGTGGGTAGAGAACTAGAGATTCTGCTAAACACCCTACAATGCCAGGACAGCTCTCACAACAAAATGATTGAGCCCACGATGTCAGCAGTGCCAGAGTTGCAAAACTCTCCTATCTTCAAGAGCAAAATGGCATCCCTGCAACCCTCAGCACTTGACAACTAGCAGGCCTGGTTGTCCTGTTGTCCTCATACATTACACCTGATCCATTTTGCTTGATGGTTTTTGCCAAGCCAGCTTGGGAGCTCCATGGCAAAGGAACTTTCTGTGTCTCCAGTAACCTATAAGAACAACCCCAGGAAGCATTTGTTGCTCCGGAAGCATTTGTTGAACAACTTGCTCAAGTCATGCAGCCTTCCCCACCCTATCCCATTACCATCATTCTGCTGTTCTTCCAGGTATGGTAACTCTGATTCCTTCCTGCCTCTGTTTCCAGTGTGACTACACTGGGTTGAGGCTCTCGTTTTCAAAGTTCCTTGCTGGGAATATTGAAATGTCTTTACTACAAGAGCCCCCCCCCCCCCCGGCAAGAATACAAAGTCTTGAATCCTAATGGCACACAGAGACTCAGTTGGCCCCTTCTGCTTACTTGTTATCAGGATCCTTGAATACAGGCAACAGAAGGCATCACTAACTTGAGCAGGAAAGAACTTTAATAGAAGTATGGAAGAGGACTTGGTCATCCCTTGGGGAAGGATCAGAGACTGGAGAACAAGGGGGAACGACAGCAGGAAGCCTCACAGGTGCAGGTTTGTCTTTTTCCAAGGCGTTGGTATAGATTTGCCTGCATGGGTGTCATAGGGCCTGGACCAGATGTTGCTTTCATCTGGGCCATGCCTCCAGTGGGGCGAGTGTTGTATCTAGCTGGCTCTCTATGCTACCTGGCTCTCTATGCTACCTGGCTCTCTATGCTACCGAGTGCTGAGCAAGGGAGGAGGGTCATCTCAGCTGCAAGTTCACTCTGCCCGACCTTGAGATTCTGGAGCTGGACCTGGAGATGGTTTTCCTTCACCAGCTGGGGCAGTGTTAAGCTTTGTAGGATACTGGGGTACACTGTAAAGCATAGGGAAGGGGTCTCTGGCTCTGCTGTCTTTCTTTATATGCTGGTTACTGAGCAGAGGCAGGATGGTGTCACCACTCGCTCTCCAGTGAGTTCTTCCCCATCCCAGAAAGAAGTACAAGCAAAAGAAAGAAGAGGGGATGGGAGGGCAGAGGGGAAGAGGGAGTTGTGCCCTGTGTTTGCTCCTGTTTTATTTGTTAAGAGTTCTCTTTTACCCCTGTATTAACTTGTTAATAATGTATTACATTTTCTTTCTATTTAGTGGTGGGCCTTCTGACAGGACCTTGACTCATGCAACCATTTTTAGTTTCTATAGTTTTATTGCTGCCTGTTAAATTCTCACAAGATAGATTCCCTTCCATAAAGGGAGAAGCGGGTGGGGGAGGCGGTTTGCTGGACAGCCAAAAAAAAGATACTTGTCCAACAAACTCAAAATACCATATCCTTACATCTGTCTCCTAGTTGTCTGGCTCTCAGTATGTCTGCACCTGCCGTTGCCTCTCACTGGACCTCCTAGCATGCCCTGTCCTCTTCATTCTGCAGCTCAGTTCAGAAAGGTTTCTGTGACTCGGCCCTCACCCCCAGGTTCTCCCTTTGCTTCCATTCTACTGTGTCCTCCATAAAACTGCAGTTTCATTCCTTCTCTGTTTCCCACTCTGTAAGCGCCTCCCACTTCCATATACCCATCCCACCCTTACCACCAAGTATAGACAGTCTGTTGGTCTCCTCAGCACAGGGTGGGTGCTTGATGTCTGTTGGATGTCCTAATTAAATACCAAAGAAACACCATTTTGGAAGGCATGGGAAGCAGCCTCACTTACCTTGGGGCAGTTACTGATGAATTACCCTTTATGTAATCCTTGAACCTGCAGTTTAGTATCAATACATAGTCAAATCTAGTTTATTTGCATTTCTAGGAGAAGTGCCCTTTTTTTTCAGGTCAATGAAGATAAAATCCTCAAGGAGGATTTGTCCTTTTGGAAATGTGAGTACCTGTGAGGGGCCAGGGGTATGAATCAGAGGTTGTTAGGAGGGGAATTGTGTCCCCACCAAAGTTCATAGATGGAAGCCCTAACCCAGCTACCACACCAGTGAGTGACCTTATTTGGAAAGAGTTGTTGCAAATGTAATTAAGATGAGGTGACACTGGGGAGAAGCAGGGGAATCCAGGAGTGGAGCCATTTCCCCCCTGCACTCAGGACTGGCACTTCTGTCCAGGTCCCAAGTCAGGAGGCTCCGCTGGCTCCCTGGAGACTGAGACAAGAGCTATGCAGAGGGAGCAGCAGCTCGGGGTCAGCGATAAGCTTCCACAGCTCCCTGGGGTGGCAGGGTGGGTGGGGCTCTGCACCAAGTGGAATATTGGCAGCAGCATTTGGGGTGGGCTTGAGCCTGGGCTGGGGAGTCATATTAAACCCATGTTGTCACCCTTGGTAGACAGGTAGGTTGGGACACTAGTCTTCACAGCCACTAACTAGTATGGGATCTTGAGTGAGGCATTTAACTTCTTTGCTCAAGAAAATGCTACCCATATCACAGAGCCAGGTGAGGCCTAACTTCATAGCGTTTAGTCCAGGTTTGTCATTTGGTTGGTTCATGGCAGTGAGTACCATAATGAGAAAGCTGAGTGGACTGTTTCTGGAAACCAAGGGAACTGCAGACAGGTGCCTTAGTTAAGACATACACATCTGATAAACACTTCCTTGGAGCTGCTCTGGTGTAAAGGGAGGGACTGAGCTAATTGGAATGACACTCACCTAGTGGTTTCTAATGGTGAGACACTGTTCTAGGGATGAGGCATGCATGAACTTATTCAGTGCTCCTAGGCCCATTTTACAGATGTGGAAATGGTGGCATAAAGCTACTTACCCAAGAGCAGGTAGTCAACAAGGGGCAGAGCTGGACACTCTGTGTCCTGAGTCAAGACAGTTACTGAAGGCTGCAATAGAACTAATGAAGAACAGTGACCAGTAGGAGGAGGTGTTGCCATGTATTGCTTATTGAAGTAACAATGTGCTTCTGAAGCTGTCAGGTTGGGGCTAACCACTGAATTGTCTCTGTGCCCAGCCACAGATTTTGTCAGCCCTGAAAAAGTTACTTCTCCCCAAACGAGGAGCTGTGACAGGTCCCAAACTGTAAATCAACTCTCCAATGACATAAACAGGTGTTGGGGCTTTCCATGAAGCTCCTGGGGATTCGCTGTTCCCAAGGCATTCAGTGGATGCTGAATAAAGCCTGGGACAATTTGATGACTGCCCTAAAGTCAGACTTGAGATGTGGAAATGGAGGCATACTGGCACGGACACTTGTTCACTTGCAACCTTGTGGTGGCCTCAATGAACTTTTCCAAATCAGGGATGGTCAGGAAATTCAGGATCCTACTCATTTTTCCCAGAAGGATCTGGATCTTCCGAGCTGTTAGGCCAGGTTCTATCTCCAGGACTGCTCCCTTTTTCATGTTGCTCAGCACCTCTGGGTTTATAAACTGTGGGATTTATAGAAGGCCAAGTGAGGACCAATGGAATGCTGCCTGGATGCTCCTCCGCCTACCCAAGGAATGGTGCCCTGTGGCCATAACCAGTCTTCCCTGGAACCTCCGCCCCCAAGGGCAGACCCATTTCCCCAGCCCTGCTGCCAGCAGCCTTTCTGCTGCTTCCCCAGACTCCGGCCAGTGCCTGTGGCTATGTCCACATGGTGATGTGGACTTAGGCCACACATGAGAGACCCTACACCAGAGAGGTACTAGCTCTTTCTCTGGTATGGACTGGCTTCAAAGGCTGCACTGTCCCAAGGGCAACGAGCTTCTTGCCCATGGGTCCTTGGCCTCAGGGCTGGGTCAAGGAACAGTCAGGGCTGAGAGACCTCACAGTGTCCACTGATGAGCCCCACTTCCACTTTGGGTTCCCTGGGAGTATTTTGGGTTTTGTTGGGACGAGGCTTTGCCCCACTGAGGTGCCCTCAATTCACCCTCTGTCTTGGTTTGTGGCCAGTAGAAGGCTGATAAAAAGTCTGCTGGAGGGGACATGATAAAGAATAATACCAACATACCTTATTTCTGTGAGGTCTCCAGCTGATGAAATGCCGTCACACAAAGTGTCTTTCTTAAGCCATACAACAATCTATCCCTTTTACAGAAGACATCACCCAGGAAATGCAGAGGTGGGTGTGGAGGGCGTGGTCTTCCCAGGGCCCCCTAGCTGCCTAGCCTGGGCTGATCTGGTCACATCTCCCTCAATGGGTGCAGCTCCCCTCAGGGACCCCAGGCCTGTTAGGACTCCTGATCTCGGTCAGGGCAGCCTTTTCTGGACACTGCCTCCCTTTCCTGGCCCTCGACCCCCGGGGAAACCCACTGCTATTTACAGACCAGAGCTCCAGGCAGGCCCTCATGCCCTCTCCAGACTCAATTGCTCCCTCTTAAGCTTGTTTCTGCTGTGGCAGGAGTGTGAATGGTGACTCAGCCAGGTTCAGCTGCTTGGGAAAACCTGGATGGGCAAGGATGTTGGGACATCACCATTCAGCCTGCAAAATGGTGGCTATGCCAGAAAGGGAACCCAGGATACTAGCTGGCCAGGGCTGGTTGGAATTTCCCTGGAGTTAGCATTCAAAGTTCCATGTCCTGGGAAACCCTTGGTCCTGAGCAAATGGGCAGCTGGTCATCCTAACCGTACCACATTTCCTCCTCTACTTGCAAATCATATTCACACAGCTTTATTTTGCCAGGGTTGGCTGTTGGCAGCTTCCTCCTCCATCTGCCTCATCTGCCAAGAGACATGTCTACCTGTCTCTGCTTAGGTTGGGCTTGCAGAGGTCTGATTGCCTTTCTGGTGGGGCCTGTGAATGGAGCCTTCCAAATGCAATAGGAAAGGGGAATTAGAGCAAGAGTGGGGTTGTGTTCAGGTCTCACTGGGGGACTTCTTTAGTCCTCTCCTTGCCTCTGGTCCCCAGGGAGGGGCTCGAGAGCCCACCTTCCCCTAGGACAGTGTTACCTCCAGGAGTCCAGGCTCACTGTTAATATTGGGTTGAATTATCCCCACTACCCCAGGATGATACATCCAAGTCCTAAGCTGCTGTACCCGTATGTATGACCTTATTTGATAATAGGGTCTTTTCCTAAGTATCCCAGGTAATTAAGGATTCAGGATGAGATCATCCTAGGTTAGGGTGGGCTCTAAATCCAATGACTGGTGCCCTCATAAGAGAGAGGAGGAGGAGATTCGGCACACAGAAGAGGTGGGTGATGAGGGTGGAGGCGGAGATTGGAGCGATACGGCCACAAGCCAAGCAATGCATGGGGTGACCAGCAGCTGGGAGAGGCCATGAAGGGTCCTCCATGAGGGCCTTTGGAGGATGGTGGCCCCATTTACACTTTGATATCCCATATTTAATACCCAGAACTGTGAGAGGATAAGCTTCTGCTTCTGAAGCCTCCTGACTTGTGTAATTTGTTATGGTGGCCCCTAGGAAACGAATGCACGGAGGCTACTTTCCTGCTGGAACTCAGCAGAGCACATCAGACCTCCAGGTGATTATTTGTTTTGGGATGAGTGTCTAGGGAGGAGATAAGAGCGGTCTTCCCCAGGTGTCGGGCCCTGCCTTCCCATGACCAGGCTGCTGTGATTGTGAAGTGAGGTGGTGCAAGCTGACATCTTTGTTTTCCCGCCTGGCTCATAATGAGCTGAGGATGTCAGCTCTTGCAGCGCTCAATCTCATGGTGCTGGCAGGTGATGTAAAGGCATGTGGTGTTACGCATCAGGTAAAGGAAGGTGGCCTTGCATGAGTCACAGCCTGTGTGTAGATGGGCATCCCACCCAGCAGAAGACCTTACCTTGTATTTAGTGCCCAGGTTTAAACAAACCCGCTTCTGTTCATGGAAGAAGCAGAAGGTGATCTGATCTTGGCTCCTTATTTGTACCTGGATGTACTGGTTGATTTTCAAGGAGATACACTTGATAGGGGGCGCATGGACATGGATGCTCAGATCCCACCAGTTCCAGACCTTCTGGTGCCCGCCTTTGGGGAGGTGGTGGCCCAGGCTGCTGCTGAGGCTCAACCTAGACCGGGAGGTCATGTCAGGCAGCTGGATTCTGAGCCCTGTGGCAGAGCAGGGCCCCTGTCCCCTGCTGTGGTTCATTTGGGCTTCACTCCTGGACTCTTCTGTCCCTGGATCACATGCAGTCTTCCTCACCTCATGCTGTCATCACGCTGGTCTCCTGCCCAAGTGCATGGCTGGCATCTGCCTATCCTTTAGGTCTCAGCTTCAATACCCTTCTCAGAGGGGCCCTGATGACGGTCCATGCCCCTCCCCCATTAGTCTCCCTGATATGTGTATCTGTGCATGTATTTAATGGGACATTATTGGCTAATTCAGTGTTTTCAGTGTCATAGATCAAAACTGCCATAAAGATGAGTTCCTGGAGCAGAGCCTGTGGCAATCCTGCTGCTCAGGCCTGTGCCGGCATCCTCATGCATAAGGTGCCAAGTGAGATTGGGTGGGTGGATTTCTCCTCAGCCATCCCTCATTTCTAGGGGCTTGCCTGCCTTTTGAGCCATCCTTTCTCGGCCTTTCAAACCCCTTATATTTATTCACCACTGGGCCCTAGTCTGTCCCACCTCGCTCCTCTTAACCTACCCAAGAAGCTGTATGTACAGTGTTGAATTGCAAACCTGGACTCTGGAGCCAGATTCTCAGTTCAAAGCCTAGCACTGCCATTAGCAAACTGTGTGACCTTAGACCAGTAACTTCACCTCTTTATGTTTCAGTTTCCACAACTGTCAAACGCAAGTAATAGTACTTTCCTCATAGGATTGTATGGGGATTACATGCCCATACTTAGCAGCAACTCAGTAAACATTAGAATTTCCTTAGTATCTGGGTCAGAGGACAAAGAGAGGAATCTTACGTGAGCCTGCAAGGAGCAGATCCCAACTAGCTTTTTAGTCCTTGAAGTGGCTCCCGATAGAGTTCTTGCATGAGGTTAAAGGTCTGTCCCTGCCTGGGTACATGGCTCTTGGCTAAAGGTGCCAGAGAGATGAGGTCTAGAACATGAAAGAGTGTCAGGATCTGGAGGCTGTGCCTATGGGAGTGAAGACCCTATGCTGTGGGGAGGAGACCCTGCACACCAGAGCCCCGGAGTTTAGGTGGGTCTGGGTCCCCTCACTGTATCCTGGTGGGAGTCTGGTCTGGTCTGAGGCTCTTTGGGCTGGGTTTTAGTTTTCACAAACCCAGCAAACAACAATCATGCCATTCCTGAGGAAATGAAAATAAAAAAATTATCCAAGAAGTATTCATTCTCAATCCTCCCCAGTGCCTGCAACACCATGCGAGGTTCATTTCTGGTGCCCAGCTGCAGAGAAGGAAGAAGTTCCTGGTAGTTAGGGTGAATGTCCTGGGTGACCAGCTCTGTGTTTCCAAATGACTTAGAAATCTTTTCCACAAAATCTCCTAGTGACCATGGGAACACAGGCTGCTGAGGAATTCCCTCAGTTCCAGGCCCAGCTGTCCCTGGGGAAGAAACCAGCTGGGAGTGTGGGACCCATTCAGGGAGAAGTTTCTGGGAATGCATTGTTTGTCTCACTCTGAGGCCTGTGCAGATAAGCTCGTGCCTGCTGAGGAGACTTGTGTTCTGTCCAGTACCGAGAAGGAAGGGCAAGAAAAATGAGTGATATCTCTGAGGGGCAGATGGGAGCAAGAAAGGAGAGGCAGAGGCAGCAAGGCTAGAGCCTGAGCCGTGGTGGCCTGCGGCCCCTGGGATGGGACAGTGAACAAGCCACTTGCCAAGATTGTGAGGCCCACCCCAGCCTGACCGACTAGCTTGGAAGACTGAGAAGCCACTGGTACTAAGCCTGCCTATTTTCTCCTCTGGGGAGGAGCTCAGGTTTGGAAGGGGAAGCCACCAACATTTCTCCTATTCTTGACCATGCATGAACATGGTTTCTGAAAATCTTCCAAGCACATATAGGTTGCAGGGCCCAAGGAAAACAACGGAGACGAGAAATTGGGGATCTCTGAAACCAGGCTGCTTTGGGGAAGAGGGACTTTAAGCCACTAGTAGGTGCTGTCTCCAGGACCGGATGCCTGGGCCATCCTTCACAAGTAGAGGCTTTTCCAGAGCCCCAGCAACAATCTTGGGGTATCAGCTCACTTGCCTGCCCATTCCTAATGCCTGGGGAGGCTGGAGGGCTGCTCCCAGTGAATTTTAATGAGGGGATCTGGTGACTTCCCACCCTTTGAGTGCTTGCCTTTATCTTATAGCCCCAGTGGGCGCCGTAGCCTTGGGAGACAGGGCACTGCACGGCATTAGAGACATGGTGGACCTGGAACACGTTTATAGCAGGCTCTGCCTGGTCCTACCAAGCCAGAATCTTGAGTTCTGGTCAACTCTAACACCAGCTCTGAGGAGCACCCATCCCCTTGGCTTCTGTTGGGCCTAAATCCCTGGGATTTAGAGGTAAGTTGTTCTATCTCTTATATACTTTATTATTATTATTATTATTATTTTTTTTGGTACCAGGGATTGAACTCAGGTCCTTGTGCTTGCGCAGACTTTATTATTTTTTTTGAACTGGGTATCAAACTTGGGACCTTGTGCTTGTGAGGTAGGCAGTGGAACCACTGAGCTAAATCCCCAGCAATGTTTTTTTTTAAGGCTGAATCAAAATGTCATAAAATTTCTTTCCTATGATTTTCTGTATGACTCAGGTTAAGTGATTTATCCTTTGAGCTCAAGTTTCTTTATCAATGCAATGAAAACGCTTAGATTTCTTGAAATTTTCTACTGGAACATTGCCAGATATATTAAAGATAATAAACTGAATTTTTTGCCCCACTCCCACTTTCCCTACCAGGATGAGATTTTTTAGGAAGCATTTTCCCACACAAACAGACCTCAAAGGAGAGCACATACTCTCAGAACTAAAAACTCAACTAGGAAATGGTGTTTAAAATACCTAGGAGTGGAGAAAATATTCTTAAAAGCCAAGGCTTGTAGGGCAATGGTAATTTTTTAGGATTAAAAAAATTAAGTTTGGTTGTGACGATCAAGAAGAAAATATAAGTTGATCCAAATAGTATGCGACTCCTATGCCATGACCACTTTAGAAAGAAAGCAGAAAGGGAAGTCCTGAATAGAGACACCTAGCTCACCTCAGAGTTGGAGAAACTGTTTGACGGGACCAATTACTTTGTGTTGGTAAGATGAAGTTTTCTACCATCACCAGAGCTGGGAACTTAGGAATGATGCTTGATTATAATGAAATATTTAGAAGTTGCCTTTTGGACTGTGGCTAATGTACATCATACATGTGTCTCCAAAGCCCTCACCAACCCTGCCTCGAGACCCCTGGGTTTTCTGGGTAATTCTTGAAAAGTTTGACTCTGGAGAGGTGCTGAGGAGATGCAGCCAGTAGGCTGTGATCACTGAGCACTCATTTGCTCCTCTGCCCACAGGGAGGCCATGGTGCCATGAGATCTTGTGCCTTCTCTAAAGGAAAGGCCTGTCCTATTAGTCTCTCATGGTGCCCTTTCTCTGGTTTCCAGCATGTGCGAATTGAGAGACAAGGGAGGGAGGAAGGGTAGTGCAGACCAGGGGTCAAACTTTCACCACACCACTCCTCCATGGGCAGGGGTACTGGGGGCTCAAGCTTACCAGATATCTCCATTTTCATCATAGAAGGTGGCATGGCCAGGGTTGTTGATGAGGCCCCGAACCCTCATTTTTGCATCATCTTCCAGAATGATGTATGTGAACTTTTTAACACCTGTGCCGCAGATGAGCAGAGCCAGGTTTCCGGATGGATAGCTGGGAGAGGGTTAAGGCACAGGAAGTCCCTTGGGACCTACCCAGTGAAAAAGGCAGAGGACATCGTCCTCTGTCCAATCCCACACCCCAGCCCCAAGTCACAGACTTATATTGTGTCCTTCTGTTCCAGTGGATACTATATCTGGCCTGTCCCATTAGGAAAGAGAATTTGGAAGATGTTCTCATTGGAGTAGAGAATTAATTTTCCATCACCTCGATGTACCTGGGAAGAAAAGACAAACTTATAAAAAGCTCACAGATGCCGGCCACCTACTGCGGAGTGTGGCCTAGTCACCACAGCACTGGGACCACATGATGTCACATCGATGATCCCACCCAACTTGCTGGGGAACACTGTTTACCTATCTATATGAGGAGGAGGCTGAGAAGGAAACTGGAGGAGGGATGCGCTGTAGTCCGTATGATCTTTGTACTCAGGGCCTTTGATCTGAGCCGCATCTCCAGCCCTTAAATTTTTTTTTATTTTTTATTTTGAGACAGGGTCTGGCTAAGTCACTAAGTTGCCCAGGCTGGGGTCGAACTCTCAGTCCTCCTGCCTTAGTCTCTCCGAGTGCTGAGAGTATGGATGCATGCAACAATGCTGGGCTATTGACCTCATCTTAGTGTAATTAATTACATCTGTAAAGATCCTGTTTCCAGATAAGAAAACACTCTGAGGCACTGGAGTTAGGATTTGAACATATCTATTTGGGACACAATTTAACCCATAACATAAGTATATTCAAGTTTTTAATTTTTTCTTAGATTTAGTAAATTATATTTTTCTAGGAAACTGTTCATTTTATGTAAAATTTTGAATTTATTGTCGTGAATATTTTGTCACATAGTTAAAAAGGTGCTTGTACTTATGTCCTTGTTTTCGTTCTTTTTTTTCCCGGTACCAGTGATCGAACTCAGGACCTTGCACTTGTGGGGCCAGCGCAGCACTGCTGAGCTAAATCCCCAGCCTCTTGTTTTCATTCTTTATGTTATTTATATTTTACATTTTCTAGATCAACCTTGCCAGGAAGTTTGCCAATTTTACTAGTCTTTTCCAAGAACCAGTTTATGGCTTGAGTACTTTGTCATTTCTTTGCCTTCCATCATATTCACTTTTGCTCTTATCACTACCATTTGTAGCCTTCTGCTTTCTGTGGATCTTCTGTGCCTTTCTTTTTTTTCCTTTTTTTGCTATCAGGGATCGAACTCAGGACCTTGCCCTTTCGAGGCAGGTACAGTGCCACTGAGCTAAATCCCCGGCCCTATCTTCTGTGTTATTCTGTTTTCCTAATTCTTCAAATTGGATGCTGAGCTCATTGGTTTTCATCTCCTTCATGATTCTCCTTCTTCTTTATATAAGCAGTGAAAGCTATAAGATTCCTTTCAAAATACTGATTCACCTGTTTCCCAGGAGTGTAGACATTTGCCTTTCATTTTTACTTCATTCTTAATCTTTTCAAATTTCTGATATGTTTCCTTGACACCCAGTTATTTATGAATTTTCTTACATTTTCCAATGTGTATAGTATCTTTGGTTACATTACTAATTAAAATGCATCAGTGCAAGAGAGCATAGTCTATGTGATATCAACTCTTTAGTGTTTGCTGAGATTTATTTTGTGGTCTAGTGTGTGACCAATTATTGCAGATGTCCCATTGGTGGTTGGAAAGTGTATGTGTTTCCCAAAGAAGTGTAAGAACAACATGGAATTAGAGTAACTAGGTGGGGATTATGTGAATTGTTCCAGCCAATGGTATTTAAACATGGACCCTGGCTTTACTTTCTATCCAGGCAACTAGACACAATAACTGCAAGATGATGGAGAGATCCCTGACGAAAAGGTCCAGATCTCTGAGACCTACCTTGGAGGGAAGTCACTCTAAAGAACTCCATGTGAGCAAAAAATACACATCTGGGATTAGTGAGGCTCAGTAGTACAGCACTTGTCTCACATGCACGAGGCCCTGGATTCAATCCCCAGCACCACAAAAACCAAAACCAAAACCAAAACCAAACAATACCTTCTGTTTATTCAGTCACTTAACTTTGGAAAAGAATGTTTATTTCAGCAGCTAATGAGCATTATCCTGACTAATTTAAGGTCTGTGTCCTTTGAGATAGTGGCTCAACCCAATTAGCTGGTGGTATGCTTTGGCTATCAGATGTTGCCCCACAAGCTCACATGTGGGTTGGTTCCCAGCTGTGCTGCTATTGAGAGGTGGTGGAAATGTTAGGAAGTGTCCTAGTGGAAAGAAGTTAGGTCACTGTGTGTGTGCCCTCGGAACATACAGTGAGTCTTTCACTACTTCTTACTTTTCCTGTTTCCTGGCTGCCATGAGCTGAGTAGCTTTGCTTCACTATGAACTCCCTGTCATGATGTTCTGCCCCATCACAAGCCCAAAACAACAGGGCCAAGCAGTCATGGACTGAAATCTCTGAAACCATGAGCTAAAATAAATCTTTCCTCTTTTTAAGTTGACTATGTCAGGTATTTTGTCACAGTGATGCAAAGCTGACTAACACAAGATTATCCCCTATACCTCTCTTGTTTGCTCACAGTGATCCTTGTTTGCTCTGCCTTGAGTACCCTTCCCCCAGATGTCTCCATGACTCACTCCCTTGTTTCATCATTATTGGCATTTGGCCCAGCAGGCCTTCCCCTATTGTCCTATTGGTGTGGCAGCAGTTTCTCTCTCAGCCTGACAACTGAAGAGCCCCTCATGCTGCTACTTTTTCCTTGTGGGTGCCAGGTAGTAGGAAGAGCAAGGCCTTTGATGCAACATAGCTGACATAGCATTGAGTAGCATTTTTGTATACTGGCTCTGTTTTTGACTACAAGATAAGTCCATAGGAAGAGAAGATTTGTTTCATCTACCTCTGTGTCTCTAGCAGCTGGGGTGCAGTGTGTTCTCAGCACTGAAGACATAAATTCTCCATGTCTCTTTAATCCCCATGCCAAAGCTGCTTTTTGAGCTTCAGACCTGATTGTTAGCTCATGCTAATGACTCTTAACATTTAAAGTCTGATTTCCACTTACAACTTTACCGTATCAGTCTTGATAAATATATACTGTATGATTGACTTTTTAAAAACAAGCTTCATGTTTTAGAGCAAATCACAATAAAATTAAGTGGAAATACAGAGATACCCAAATATCTCCATTTCCCAACCCCAGCCTCCCTTATTATCAACATCCCTCACCAGAGTGGTGCATTTATTACAACTGATGAACCTACATCGACACACGAATTATCACCCAAAGTCTATAGCTACATCAGACTTCACTCTTCGCGTTGTACCTTTTGCAGGTCTGGACAAATGTATAATGACATGTATCCACCACTGCAGTATCATACAGAGTATGAAAATCCTAAAAATCTCTGCTCTGTCTATTCCTCACTCCTTCTCCCCTAATCCCTAGCAACTACTGTCTCTATAGATTTTCACCTTTTCTAGAATGCCACACAGTTGGGGTCATACACATGACCTTTCCAGACTGGCTTCTTTCACTTAGTAATAATGCACCTAGGTTTCCTCCATGTCTTTCATAGCTTGATAGCCCATTTCTTTTTAGTGTTGAACAATATTACATTGTGTGGATGTACTATAGCTTATCTATTAACTGTATAATTGATTTTTATATTCATTCTGATTTATTATGAGGGAACTGTATATAAAAATATGCATTTATCTTGTTCTACTTCCTCACATCCAGTTACCTAATCAGGCAGAACTCTGAATAAAGTTTAGTAAAAGTCCTATTCAAACTGCCAATAACCCAGATGCTCAGCTGGGGTCCATGTATTGGATACATTTTTCTTGTGTTCACATTGTGTATTGGAAATGACAGCTCTCTGATGGTGTGTGTGCCTTTCCTGAGCTAAAACCAACCAACGAACCAACCAACCAAAACAAACAGAAACCCTGTGTAGAGTGAGGGTACCAACACACTGCCATTCTTACCTTTGTCTTGTTCTGTATCCATTCTTTATCCAGTTCTATTTTCTTATGGGGGCAGGAGCGAATAGAAGGATGATGATCTTTTTTGACTTCATCTGCTTCCTTGACTTCTTCCTTAGGCTCCTCCTCAACTTTTGGTTGAGTCAATAAATGAAATGTGAAAGTGGGCTTCCGACCCGTCATTTAGTGATTGAATGATGATTGCATTCAGTCTGATGATTGAGTCAAATATGATTTTGGTGCGAAAGAGAAAAGAAATTGAGATGTTTCTCAAGGTCCCAAAGGGAGTTTGAGGGTTTGGCGGATCAGCTGCTTTCTCTGGAAAGAAGGCTGCCAGATAGTAGGAAGAGCAAGGGCTTTGATGCAAGAAGGGTAGGGCTGGAATTCCAGATCTGTTTTTCCATCCATTCACTCAGCACATGTTAAGAGCTTAGTGTGTGCCAGCCCAGTGCCAGATGATGAAGGCAATGGTGAAGACCACCTAGTCCTGATGGGGTCCTGGGGAGGTGACTCAACAATGTTACCAGTCACAAAGCAATGAATAGTGTGCTCACCAATGAAAGGTGGGGCTGCTAAATGAACAGAGGCTATGTTGAGGAGTTGGGAAAAAAGGGAAGACATACCTTAAACATGTTGTTTTAATTTAAAACTTATATTAAAATGTCTTGTAAAGTGTAGGGCAAAAATCTTTCCTTTGAGGCCTAAGGACTGGGGCTCTGTGATCATTTTTATTCCAACCATATCCATAATTTATTACTTAACACCTTCAGCCTTGGCAATTTGTAATAGCCTGAGTGTGGAATTGGAGAATCTTCAAAAAATTTTTGTACATGTTCCCTAATCTTTTGTGTATGTTTGGTCCACATCTAACTCGAAGCAATTTAAAAAAATGTTTTCTTGTGAGTTTTGAGCTTTCAAAAAAGAAAAAAAAGAAACATTTTTTAGTTTTCATAGCAACAACTTCTTTTTATAATAATTGAATTTTGGGACTAACCTAGTAAGGACGCCTGAGGAACAAATGCGGCTTTCCATATTTTTTGGTAAGCACTGGGAGTGGCAGTGGCCAGATGTGGAGAGGACCTACTGTCTGTCCCATGTGCCAGGACCCTGTTGGCGGAGCTCAGATCACTTGGCAGCTGGGTTAGGGGAGGTCGGTTAAGACAGCCCTGGGTGTCCCACCATTGCAGCCAACACAAGCTGCCAAGAGAGCTCATGGGAGGGGCTTAGCAAGGCTTGAAGCTGAATGACTCTTGGTGAAAGATACATCTCTAACATGCCAAGTGTTGTAGCATATGCATTGTGTGGTTGAAGGTTCCAGTAGGAATGGGTTAGTGGTGACAGATGATTTAGGAGAGACAAGCAGGAGTAGATCATTTCTACAGTAGGTTCATTCTCTCACTTAAGAAATACTTATTTTGCTCCTTTATACCAAGAACTGTCTCAGGGAGACAAATGTTACACAAGTGAACAAGTAAAAATGTAATATGCCAGATTGTTATGAATGCTAGGAAGAAAAATTAAGCAAGGATAGCAGAAAGGCAAGTGTGTGCATGTGCACACTCTGGTTGATAAAGGGTAGTCAAGGAAAGTATTCTGAGATGGTAACATTTAAGCAGAGACCTGGATATTGGAGCCAAGAGAGTTCTAGGCAGAAGGACCAGCAAGTACAAAGGCCCTGAGGCAGAGAACACTTGGCCCATTTGATGAATGACAGAAGCGTTGATGTGTCTGGAGAGGAAATATTGTCAGCCATATAAGGAATGCAGAATTTTCTTGGAGGTCTTTGAGAGCCAATGAAAAGTTTTTGAAAGGACATTCTGGAAACAATGTGAAGAAAAGATGAGAGACAAGAAGATAGTCAGGAGGCTAGCATCCAAGGGGAGAAATGAGTGGATCTGTGAGCCCCAGATTCCCTAAAATGGGGTAATGATGCTTATGACTGTAACTGCCTATGGGACTGCTGTGAACTGCAGCACACATGGTGGTGCTGCCAAGTAGAAGGTCAAAACATCTGTGTTCTCAAAATAGAGTTGTGTTTTGATGGTTCATGATACCAGTGGAGCAATCTTCTGCTTTTTCTCACCAGACAAGCTGGTTCTGAACAGGAAAGACTGCATTATTTGAGGAGCCCAAAGCAAAATGAAAATGCACGGACTCTAGTTTTAAAATTATTAAGAATTCCAAGGCAGTAACAGCAGAATTTAAAAACAAGCAGATGACCCCTATAGGAGTGTAGCCCTTTGTGACTGCAACTGAAGCCAACCTTTGCTTGCCAAATGGAGTGTTTAGGGACACAAGGTGAGGGGCAGGAATATGGAACATTGTATCCCATTCTGTGAGCCTTGGCAGGAGGCATATTCTTCCCACTTCAGTAACTGAAGGTGACAGTCTCTCCTTTTCTCTGCCCCCTAATTCCAATGAGGACACAAGACCCAGGCTTACAGGGTCTCCTGACTATTTATTCTCTTCTCCGACACACTGGTCTGAATGTACCCAGAGGATGAGCTCTGAGTTTGCCCTGAGAGGCCTTAGGCATGAGTTTGGCTTTTCTATTTAATGGCTGGGTGATCTTGGGCAAGTCACTTAGCCTCTCTGGCCTTAGTTTCTTAGTCCCACTTCAAATGGTTATGAAGATTATTTTGAATCACATATGTGAAAGTATCTAGGCCATAGTGTTTATTCCTTAAGAGTTAGGTTGGGGCATACACTGCTACTGGGAAGTGTTCTCTCTCTTGACAGGGAACCTGAGGACCTGGCTTAGGAGGAAAGCAAACCATATCTGATGAGCTATGTCTCTCATCTTTTCTGGTTGGATCCGTATTGTGGTTTTGAATTTCTCAGTCAAATAGCCTGATGACTTTGCCCCTTGACTCATGCTTTCCATAACTAGATCCACAAAACCAGTAACCTCTATGATTGGCAAATCTTTTTTTTTTTTTAGTACCGGGGATCAAACCTGGGACCTTGTGTTTGTGCAGCAGGCGGCCAATGATTGGCGAATCTTAATAACTGGGCCCCAAATGCCTTCAGTGTCCTGGCAACAGAGTTATTTCCTTCTCAGATTTTGTTAATATTGTCTTCTTGGAGAGCCTTTCCCCAGATATGGGCCAGACTCCCTCCTGTGTCTCCCATGGCCACCCTGCTGGTCACAGGCCTTAACTATCCTCTATACAGTTCCCACTCCCTTGCACTCTTTCACCCCTTCCCACCAATCAATAAGCCCACTAGACTGTGTCTGTCTTGCTTGGTATTTTGTCTTCTGCAGCTGGGGCTTTGTTAGCCCAGTAGGCATTTGAGTGAACAAGCATCTCTGCCTCCTTTATGGATGGCAGACAGAGAGACCAGAAAGGGGTGGAAAGTGGCAGAGTGGTGCTTACCCTCACGTCTCTTCATCAGTAGTATTGTTTCTTTGAATATTTCAAAAATTTTCTTCAACCTAAAAGGAATGTGAGCCATCTTTAGAAGCCAAGACTGAATTCGTGTTTCCATATAAGGAGGGGCTGGATCCTGCAGAGACTTCCTAGTCAGGGGAAAGTTGGCCAGTGGCTCTGCTTTCCAACCCAACTTTCCCATCCAGTGAAAGCTTAGGAATAAAGGCAAGGCATATGGCATTGAACCTGTGCTTCCTGCCTGATCTCTAGCTGACCGGGAACCTGGGCACAAGGCTGACTCCCAGGTCCTTCATGGTAAATTCAGCAAGGGTTATCTTGGGGTCAAGGGATGTCCAAATGCAAGTGCAGCTCTATTGAGTGAAGTTCATGTGGCTTGATTTTCTATGGCTTGTCCCTGTCCCAGTAAGGGACATCTAGAGATGTCCTGGCAAAACAGCATTGTCTGTGAATTACACAGAGTCATTTGAAACTTTTTGCATTAGTAGGAAATATGTTAAGTTGGCTCACTCAAAATGACTGATCCTGAAAGCCACACTGAAGCAAAGCCTTTCAAAATCCACCCCCCCCCACCCCGCCGCCGCCATCAATGTACAAACTGAGTCAAGTCATTCTGGCCTTTCAGTGGCTCTGACTGTTTTACTTCCAAATAAGGGTGGCTAGTAGAGGAACAGCGCTTCCTGGTTCTCAGTTCAGAGTCCCCTTGGAAAAGAATGTGCCAGAATGAGTGTTCTAGCTTAGTTGGATCTGAGAAGAAGGCCTTGGCCATGTAGCTCAGGTTCCTTGGAGAAAGCATAATAATTTAACTCAGAACAACTCCAGCAATCAAATAGGTTGGAATAGATTATGCTGTTGCACCTAGCAGAGAGCAATGGGTTACTATTTGCACACAAAAAACTATAGGGAAACTAGAGAGTGAGATCTTCACGGCCCATTCCAACAAATGTTTTATTTGCAAGTACTGTATGTGGAAACAAAGTTTATTGGTACCCGTGAAAAAAAATAAGGAGCATGGAGTGGTGTGGGTGGAGACCTATCGTTTGGGCTGAGAGCAAGATGCTAAATAGAGACAGACTTAAACTCCAGGGAAGAGATCCAGTCAGGGGCACCCAAGACCCTCTTGTGAAGAGCAGGGTGTTCTTCTCTTGGCTTTTGGTCACCTTTACAGTCCTCACCATTAGTTCCCCAACAGCAGAGGCTGTGAGGTACACACTACTATATTTCTAGAGCATTGCTTAGCACACAGCAGGTGCTCAGGGAATGCTGAATGTAATCAGGTTGGAATGAGACTCTCTTATAGGCTGAAATGATGAGAAAGTGGAAGAAATAGCGTGTAGGTGGCAGGATGAATAATCAAGACATTATTCGATGTTTGTTTCTGCTAATCTCAAAGTTTGGGAATTCTTTATGTTTTGCTCTAGGAGCTCTGTTTTGTTGCCTTCCCCTTCTTGGAGAGGCCTTGGGGATCTGTTTCCCATGACTACTGAGCCCACAGTGGATGCTGCTAGAAGCCAAACTTCCTGACTTGGTGAATGCCTGAACTTGCCACAGTGATGTCATAGGATGTCCTGTCCCCATGCCTGTGCCTAGTGTCACTGCTACAGAATCTGCCACAAATCCATGCCCTCCAACCATACCCCATCTTGCTCTCCAGGTTTCTCTAGTGGCTAAGGGAACATCCAAGTTTCCACACCAACAGCATGTCCTGCAACAGACTGGATGCATAGTGGGATTCTGGAACATTTATGACCCGGGGCCTTGACAGCTAGAAACACTGGTCCAGCAACAGTTTTGCAATAACCTTATCATTCTCCACTTCATGGTCTGGGGCTCTGGCTACAACCCCCATGTCAGTGAAGCCCATGGCTCTCCCTCCTTAAGAAAGCATGGAAAAGTATTAGCTAGCGTAGGGTGAAGCTAGGGAGTTGTTGGACAGATATCCAGGATCTTGATGACACCTTGCCCTGTCTTTTAAAGGGGGTTGGGTGTTTTTCTCTAGGTTTTTGTATGAGATCATGGTTTTCCAAGACATTTCTTGCTCAGGATTTCCAACTTCTGCCATTGCCTGCCTGTTCCATTCCTGTGGCTCCCATGCTTTTGATTTCCTCACTCTTGAGTTTTGGCCTTGGTCTGGAAAATTCTGTCTATTTGACACTTGGGTATCACTCTTGCCCTTGCCCTTGTACCTGGCTTGGGCCAGCTCTTTGAGTCAGGGAACCTGCCTGGCCCTGGTTCTGCTGTCTTCCCTGCTCGTCTCATTTACACTTTCTCTGCTGCCACCTCTGGCCTCCCAGAACTCACTGACCACTAGCTCTGCCTTCTAGTTACTTACAGAATCCCCAGCTTCCTTTTGTTTTCACTTTCCAGCAATTTAGACAGGGGAATATCCAAATCCTCTTCCAATTCTTTTCGAGCAGCTATTTCTTTGAGTAATGTATTAAACACTGCCTCGTAGGAGCTGTTAAAAAACTACAAAAGGATCACAAAAGGAAATATCCAGAAAAGGAAATATACAAAGGTTCCAAGTGACATTTTAACATGTTAGGAAAAAAATACAAATAGTAGTGCTGAAGGATGGTTAGCAAGAATTCTTTTAAAGAGCATTTCCATTACCATCATATCCTCTCCTTCTTACCAATTCCCTCAAGAATTATTTTAAACATAAATATGAGAAGAAATATATAGTAAATATAAATTTCTTTTTTCCAATTGTGTAGATGACTATAGGACATATAAACATTCCATATCTTAAGAGCCTAACAGGCTTTCTGCATCCCCAAAATAGTCAAGCTCCCAGGGTAGCTTGTTTATTCAGTGACAAGACTGAGGTTTTTTTTTTTGGTACTGGGGATCAAACTTGGGATCTTGCGCTTGCAAGGCAGGTGGCGGAACCACTGAGCTAATCCCTAGCTGACAAGACTGAGTTTTGTAGGAAGTAGTGTAGCTAGCACATCATTGCATTGGACAGTTCTGCATTTGGAAATTCTTCCCAAGTATGTAATGAGCTGCCTTTGTATTTTGTAAATCTGACCATTCTATCCCAGGTCTGTGCTGTTTTATCATGACTGACCCTTAGGTGGGTGCTCACAAGAGTTTTTTTCCTTGGATCCCTTTTGATAGAAGGTGAAGGCTGGCTGCCTTTCTAGAGAGGAGAGGCAGGAGTTGGTCAAGTTGCCTGTTCCTAGCTCACCTACAGGTTAAGGTTGTTATGGTTGTCATTCAACATGTGATAATGGATTGCCATCAACTCATTGTCCTTCTACAGTACATGAAAGACCAAAATATCAAAGTTGTGTGGGAAGTAGGACAAATCCAAGAGTATGGCTAATGTTTTTAAGTTGGGGAAAAACCTTGTGCCTTAGGTCTGGCCTGCCTGATTTCTGGCCTTTGAACAACCCTTCTCCCCATTGTTCGAATCAGTGCCTTAAGGCAATTTCAGGTTAAGGCCCTTGCTGCTGTTTTTTTGGTCACTAAATTCTTCATTGTTGACAATCCTTTAGTTGGGATGGGGTGACTTCACTTTTTGTGGCCAGTGATCTGTCACTACCCTTTGTATTTTGTGTCTGTTCACCAGAAAGTACAAGGCCATTGTAATCCACTGGACAGTAGATTCAACTGGGCAGGTCCACTTGGTGTTCTGGCCCATCTAGGCTGAACCACTCCACACTATTGAGTCAACATATGTGATACCTTGGGAGTTTGTATCATTTGCTTGCTCAGCCAATGCAGTAGAATACCCTCTACTTAGTGGGCACTTTAGTGATGAGGTCTTCCATGTTCAGAGACCCCTCTCAGGGGAATCACTAGTTGCTGAAATCAAAGGAACTTGTATGCACAGCAAAGCTTATGATACATGAGTGTATATTAGAAATAAAAATGAGTGTGTGATAGTGAACTAAAGATAGCCAATGAATTGTCAAAATAGCAAAATATATCTTGAAAGCCTCATCCAAATAGCCTTTAGTTCCTTCTTCCTAGTTTGTACCCTAGAGCTTTCTGGTAATGCCTCAGCAATTTACACAAATGTTGAGCTGCAGGTACAGTATGGCATTCATCCTGTTCTTTCTCCCCTGGTGTGGCTCTGCTGGGCCACATATGCTGTTTACCAGGTTGCTTGGAGAAGCCATATGACCATCTGCTATGGTTTGGATGTTGAATGTCCCCAGTAGGTTCATGTGTCAAGGGGTTGCTTGATCCCATGGTTGCAGCAAAGGTGCTGGAACCTTTTAGAGGTAGGGCCCAATGGAAGATCTTTAAGTCATTGGAGGGTTGCCCTCTAAGGGGATATGGGACCCCATCTCTTCCCATCTCTCTGTTTCCTGACTTAAGATGTGACTGCTTACTCTGACATGCCGTCCTTCCATGATGTGCTGCTCTTGCCAGAGCCCAAACCAACAGAGCTGCCTGGTCTTGGACTTGAATCTCCAGAGTGATGAGCCAAAATAAACCTCCCTTTAGTTCATAAGTGGCCTGTGTCAGGTTATGCAAAGCTGGCTACTACACTACCTATCATGAGAATTCTGTGCCACAGGTGCTACCTCAATGTCTTGAGTGTCCAGTTCTTGAGAGACAGAGTAGCATGGAAGTCAGAGGGAAAGGACTCTTCCTAGTTTGTGCCATACTTTGTCAATTGGACCCTACAGCAACACTACTTGTGTCCAGAGTTTCACAATGTGCTTCATGACTGGCTTTCATGAGTGATTGGCCTTTATACCCTAGCCATAGTGTCTCAGTTCCAGTCTATGGCATTTAGATAGAAAACAAGACATGGTGTCACATTTTTCACATTTTTTTCTGGATTCCAAAAACCCTCATTCTAACTGCAAACCAAAAGTTCCCAGGCTCACACAGGAAAACCAACTAACACTGGCATGCTTTTATGTGTTGGGGGGTGGGGGGAGGAGAAATTATCTATCTAGAGTAGTAAGAAAATAATGCCCCATGAGCTCCAAGGCTCCAACTATATGCTAAGGATTCTGTTAAGGGTTGGTTTGTGTCCCCCAGCCTCCAATTCATATGTTAAGTTCTAATTCTAGTATCTTAGACTGTGACCTTGTTTGGAGATAGGGTCTTTAGAGAGGTAATTAAGTTAAAATGGGGTTATTAAAGCTGGGTTTGGTGGCACACTTTTCTGATTCTACTATTTTGGGAGCCTGGGGAAGAGGATCACAAGTTCAAGCCCAGCCTGAGCAACTTAGTGTCTTAGGGACACTAAGGGACCCTAGTTCAAAACAGTAAATAAAAAACATGGAGTGCGAAGGTCCTAGATTTAATCCCCAGTACCTCAAAAAAAGAGAAAGGGGTCATTAAAGTGGGTCTCATCCAGTATGACTGGTATCCTTCCTTACACAATTTTTGACAGAGATACACACAGAGAGAAAATGATGTGACGTGACGGAGAAGACATCATCTACGAGCCAAGGAGAAAGGCCTGGGCCAGATCCTTCCCTCACAGCCTCCAGGAGGAACCAAGCCAGCTGACACCTTGAGTTTGAATTTCTACCTTCAGAACTGGGAGTCAATCCATTTCTGTTGTTTAAGCCTCTTGGCTCATGACACTCTGTTGCAGTGGCCTTAGCAAACTAATAGATTCCAAATCAAAACTTCAGTCAAGAGCTTTCTTCTAGGATCAATTAGATTGGCTATTTCTGGTTTTCACCTGGGCTTCGTCTGGATGTTTAACACATACTTGAAATTCACAGTGTCCCAAATGGAACTTTCTACTTTACTGTACAAACATGCCCTTCTTCCTCTCTTCAGCTTCCCAGTTTATAGAGTTTACTATGTCCTACGTCATGGCAGGTGTATTGGGCAGGGCCCAAAGCAACCAGTCTTTATTATTTGTTCATCTGTACTGCTTCTGTGGGGTTACTCTTCTTCCTGTCCTTAGTCTTCCCACTTCTCCAATCTGTCATCTCTGCAGCCGTGGAAATGACCTTTAAAAATGTGATACAGAGCTATCAGTCTTGAAAGAACTCAGTTAATATTGTTGGGGACTCTGGTTGGATCTCCTATACCATACTGTTTTCTCCAGATACATTATATATTTAAGAAGGTCCCTGAGACAGCTAGAAAAAATGAGTGAATTATAAAATATTTTTTAGAGTGAAAAGACATTTCTAAATATAAAACAGTACCCAGCAGTCACACAAAAAAATGGATCAATGAGACTACCTGAAAATGAAAAATGACCATGTCATGGGAAATATCACGAAGAAATTTGGAATACAAAATACAAACTGAATAAAAACCTTACAACATACATGTCAGGAAAAGGACTAAGTTCTTTAATGTATAAAAAGCCCTTACCAAATTAGAAGGAAAAAGAAATAAGTAACATACTAGAAGAGCGGACAAAAGGCAGAAGATGGCCCTTCTCACAAAGAGACACATGTGACCCATGAATGTGAAAAATGTCTGGCACCCTTCATAATGAAGAGATGCAAAAGGGAATGGTGAGATATCATTATTTTCTCTCTGTCAGATGGGCCCAATTATGACCCTTGGTAGGTAAGGGAGTGATGAAGGAGGTACTCTCGAGGCCTCTAGGGAAAATGGCCCAACTTGTGTGTGTGTGAGCAAACCTTTTGAGCTAAGGGTATAGATTCTTCACATTCAGCATTCAATTGCTAAGAATTTATTCTTTAGATATACTTGCATAGGTAATAAGATATGTACAGTTCATTGCTCCCCCCCATATATATCAGAAACAAATTGATAGGATGCTACATCTAAGATAGAATGGAATACCATGGATTTCACAAATATGTTATTTAGAGAAAAGAGAGCTATAGAACAGAACATATATTATAATCCTTTTATAGATATGCACATTTAAAAAAGATATGTGTATTTATATATGCATTAAAGTTTCCAGAAGGCTAAAGAGTAGTATGCAGTAGCTATTACTGGGAGGTAAGGAGGTGGAGACTTGGAAAATTTATTTTACAGCCTTTTGACCATTTCAATATTTAAAAATCATGTGTACATGGTAGTTGCAATATTCAAAATCTAGGCTGAATCAAACTACCTAAATAAACAAAAACACTCAATCTGGTTGTGTCATACACCTTCCTAAAATACTTTCTTGACAAAGTCCTGCAATAGCCCAGTGCTTGCAATGGGAGCTCCTCTGCTCAGCCCACTTGTCCCACAGGGCTCTCTGGAAGGCTGCCAAATGTGCCCTGCTGTTTTAGGACCTCACCCAACTATGCAGAAGATATGCTGCCTGTGAGTGCCTCCTGCCCTAATATTTGGAGGAGATGATTTCAAATTTTTATCCAACTTACTTTCTCATCAAAATCCTTGGCTTCCTCTTTGTCAATATTATGCTCCTTCATTAGGGTTTCCCAAAAGGTCTTTTTATAAATGTCCATGGCTTTCGATTTTGGTAGGTACATTGGAAAGAAAGGCATTTGGAAGGGGAACCAAAAGAAAGAAAGCAATTTATGACATTTACCTTTACCCTT